TGGAGTTAGGGGCCGGATCTTTGAAGCAAGGAGTAACTGACTAGGCTTTATTTTCATCTTGGCAAAAATCAGGGGAAATGATGAGAAGTAACCAAAGATATGGCCGTAGAATGAACAAGGTCTTAGGGTGATGTGGTTGGATAGGTTGGTTGGGGATATTTGATGAGGAAGGGCTTGGTGACAAGCTGAGGAAGCTATACTGGTTCTCATCGACTATCAGTAAGGACTTCTGCTGTTCCACATTAAAGAGACGTCTTAACTTTTTAAAAAATTTATTTATTTGTCTGTGCCAGGTCCTAGTTAGGGCACGCAAGAACATTGATCTTTGTTGTGGTGTGTGGGATCTTAGATATGGCATGTGGGATCTAGTTCCCTGTTAGGAATTGAACCTGGGCCCCCCACATTGGGAGCATGGAGTCCCAGTCTCTGGACCACCAGGGAAATCCTGAGTCTTAACTTTTATCCAGCCTTAATTACCAAGAGATACTAGATTGGGAGAATACAGATAGGAAGATGACTAGGAGATTATCACTGCAGGAATCCAAATGTGAAATGGGGATGGTGGTATACGTGGGAACAGAGAAGACAAGTTGAAGTTGAAAGACATTGAAGAGAAAGGATCAGGAGACCTTGGTAATCAAGAGGACACTTATGAAGCACTGAGTGATTCACAGATAATATGCAAAGGCCATATAAGATCAATGGCCCTAGGATATAAAGGAAGGCAGGGGTAGTGAAATTAAAGCCAAGACTAGTAAATGGCTTTTCAAGGTAAAACGTGCCTCCTGGGAGAGCAGGATGTTCTGAGAAAATGGAATGTCTTTCTTGTTGACTAGTTTATCTTGTCCTAATGATTCACCGATGTTCTCTTTGGTTAAAGATCTTTTGTCCTCTATCTCCCAATCCCCATGACACTGATGTTTCCCCTTAAACTGGCACATTCCCCTCTGGTTGGAACAGGTGACAGAGTGATTGACGCCCTTCCTTGTTGTCATCTTTCTTCTGAACAAATGCCAGCGGCAGGTGAGGCAGCAGTGAGATGTTCCTTCCTGACTCCTTTTCAGGCGCTACAGTTTTACTTTCCACTTGAGCCCGCCTTTGATGGTCTTGATAAAGTGTTTATGACTCTTTTACTGCATGGAACTGTTGTGTTCACTTAGGGTTTATGCTGGACTGGTTTAAATGGTTCATTGTAAAAACTCTTCGATTCTTTAAGGTATTTGCTAATCTTTGCTGAATGACCTGTTTTCCTTCACCAGCTCTTGATCTACCCACAAGATACAGATGAGTCAACAGAATCGTCATCAAAAAGAATTATGCTCCTATTGTCCTCCAGTATCTGCAAAAAGAAGTGTGAACAATTAAGTGGTAACTTAGATTTATTAAACATAAAATGGGTGCTTTGTTTTCACCTTCAGTTTGTTTTTTGCTTGCTTGAGTGGTCTGCTCAGGAAATGGCCTTTTGGCTAAGTGGGTTTTTGAGGTTTAGTTATTTCACGATATTTCTGTATCTTTGGTTTGAGAGTGGAACAGAATCCTGAGCATTGCTGCTTGCTTTTAAAGAAGATCTGCAGTTCTGCTAAGATGCTATTTTCAGATCCTCATACATTGGATCTCAGCAAGTTTTTGTTTCTTATTGACTTTCTTGTTTTTTTTTCTTATCTCCATCTTATCCCTCCCTAAAAAGAGAATAAAGTTAGAAAGGGATTATTCTGAAATATGGGCTCAAGGAAAGTAGATGTAAATTTTATTTTATGAGCTGTCTGTTTGTTACTTTACCAGTAAAGTTCTGGTTTTGATGGAAGTGAAGACATTCTAAGGTCACAGAGTTTATGTAACTGTAGGTCTCTCAGCTGTCCAAATATAGAAAATCACTTTCCTTCAGGGTTATTCTTTGCTACTTTGCAAATAAGCAAATTCATTTGGAATATTTTAAGTTTTATCAGTAATTAAATCTATATTTTTAGTTCTGAGATGCTTTATGAACTGTTTAAGAGTTTTTTCATCATGTTCTGGCTCGTTCACTATTGTATATGCAGCCCTTAACATAGTCCAATACTTAACATTCAGTGGAAATTCAATAACTTTTTTGAACAGATTAATGGATTTTTGTAGGGTTTAGTTTAAAAAATGGTATGATAATTTTAAAAGAAGAACTTTAAAAACCATCCTTAATCCCAACACTTAATCAATTTTTTTTTCATCTTTTAGTCTTCATGTAACCATGTGTGTACCTTCACATGGTTTTAGTTGTGGTGAACTTGAAATTTTGCCTTTAAGATTTCCCCAGACTTCCCTAGTGGTGTAGTAGATAAGAATCTGCCTGTCAGTGCAGGGGACATGGGTTCTATCCCTGGTCTGGGAAGATTCTGCATGCCACGGAGCAATTAAGCCTGTGTGCTGCACCTACTGAGTCCAAGTGCTGCAACTACTGAAGCCTGTGCACCTAGAGCCTGGGCCCTGCAAGAAGAGAAGCCGCTGCCATGAGAAGCCTGTGCACCACAGCGAAGACTAAGCCCCACTCGCTGCTACGAGACAAAGCCTTCGAGTAGCAGTGAAGACCTAGTACAGCCAAGAAAAAAATAAATTTCCCCATATTTTTGTTTTTAAAAGCCAAATTGAATTGTATTATCTAGAGTAGCAAGAAATTCTAAATTTAATACTAGAGGGGAATAATTTGAGAACTATTACTCTTGCTACATAGTTAGAATAGGAAAAAGGAGTCCAAAATGGCGATGACTAAAAGACAAAGACTTCGACTGTGTGGATCACAATAAACTGTGGAAAATTCTGAAGGAGATGGGAATACCAGACCACCTGACCTGCCTCTTGAGAAACCTGTATGCAGGTCAGGAAGCAACAGTTAGAACTGGACATGGAACAACAGACTG